GTTTTGTTGAATCCCTGAGACTTAGTGGTATTCCATCTTTCAGGCCTCTCTGTGATCGACTGCTGAGTACATGGATCACTAATGTTCTGGTTTCAGCTCTATTTGCTTGCTCCACTGATACATCAAACTCATATCCACCTGGAGTAATCCATTCAGTTTCTTTCTCGTTGCTTTTGTTCACCACAGTTATGCTCCTAGCCACTAGCCTTGACTCTCAAGTTCTTTTCTTGGCAAACCTACCTCTGTTTCATAAGCACAGCCTCCCTGATTCACTTCAGACATTGCCCTCCAGCTAGCTTGGCAGTGTCTACAGGCAGCCATATAAGAAATGGCCCCTTCCTTATCCTGATGCTTTTCATTCCCTTAGTCCCATTTTTTTTACCATTAATTTAAATCCTACTGAGTGCTTCATTTGAATCGTTACTGCCAGTTTAGAGGGCATAGGAGAGAACTAGCTTGCCAGAAAGATGATGTGTGTGGCTGAAATGGTGAAAAGATGATCTCAAGGGTGGTTATGATTCAAAATATGATCATTGCTTTTACTCTCACACCAGCGTCCCACGCTTCTTAGGATCTAGTTGTGCCTGCCTTTGAGCGGTTGCTAGGCTGAGCATCATCTATGTGTTTACTAGACCTTTGTGTGACATCTGTGAAATCATGTCTGTTAAACAGTTTCCCTGTTTTAAAAATTTATTATTGCCATCAAGTTCTAAATTCTTTGTACTTTGCATGCAAGTGCCTTGTCAGATTGAAAGTTTAAGCATGTTTTCTCTCATTCTGTGAGCTCATTTTTCTCTTGTGAGGATATCCTTTGAGGCACAGAAGTTTGATCAAGTCCAGTTTGTTATTTTTTTCTTTTGATACCATGCTTTTATTTTTACATCTGATAAATCATTTATGAGAAGTCTTGAGACTTGAATGTATGTATGTGATTTTGATAGGTTTGTGTTTTCACAGCTTACACTTAAATCTATGATTCAACTATGTTCCTTTCTGTAAATGGGGTTTGTAATAAGTGTCCAGTATCATTCTTTTGCATGTGGATATCTTCCACTGTTCTTGAACATATTTATTTATTTACTTACATTCGTTTGAATGCTCGTACAAATGCTCGTGTGAAGTACAGGGATCAGTGTTGAAAATCTTCCCTGCTCGCTACCTTTTCTATCATTTTTAAAAAGAATTTCTCAGTGCAGCGGGAGTTTGATATTTTGGCTAGCCTGGCCGACATCAAGTCCAGAGATCTACCTGTTTCTGTCAGTCCTCCACCCCTGTCACTGGGGTAACAGACTTTACTGCCACGTGTGACTTTTGTAGGGTAGTGGAGCTCCAACCTTAGGTCCCCATGCTTGAACAGTATGTTATATGTGCATAATATATTTGTGTATATATTTTGGCTTCCAGTTTCGTGTTTTTGTGGGTTCCTAAATCTGTGAACAAGTGGGTCTCTGAGTATGTATTTGTTTCTTGTGCCTTTTCTTGGGCTCTTTTCCTTCTGTGTGTGTGTGTGTGTGTGTGTGTGTGTGTGTATGTGTGTGTTCTATTCCAGTGTGTTTTGTTATATCAAATCATATATTATCTCTTAGAAGCCTGTTTTCTAATGAAAGAAGGAGTGGATCTGGATGGGAAGGGAGGTGGAGAGGAACTGGGAGGAGTAGAGGGAAAGGAAACTATAATCAAAATATATTAAGTGAGAAAAAATCTTTTCAATAAAGGAAAAAATAAGAAATTTTGAAAGTATTAGAGATGAAACATGTCACCTACAAAAGAAGAAAAATTTACTACCTTATATTAACAGTGGAAGCCAGGAGACAGTGTACAACATCTCGTGATGTGGGAAGAAAATCTTTTTCAGTTTAGGATTCTATGTCCATTGAAATAATATGTAGAGAACAAATAAAATGGAACACATCACCAAAAGCAAACTGCAGTGTTGCCCTTTGAGTAGAAGTGAGATTGAGGAACCAAGTCTGAGATGCAAAAAGAGATATAACAGGCCATCCTGGTGGCTAGCACGAGAACCACATTGTGGAACAGGTGACCCAGCTTTTGAAAGTTAAGATGTGCTTCTGCATGTGTATCACACACACACACACACACACACGTGCACATGATACATACATGGAATCAAAATTAATTTGATTGTATGAGCAGTCAAATGAATAAGTATGAATAAGATTGAATAAGAGTAAAGCCAAGGGGGGGATCCAAGATGGTAGCACCAGGAGGACGCTGTCTGAGGAGCAGGACAGTAGTGACTGCAGAGCAACCAACAGACTGAACTCTGGGCCTTAAAGCACCAGCGATTGTGTTTCCCAGGTGAGAGGAAACCCCATGGTGTGGGAAGCTATCGGGACTGACCTCAGGTCACCCAGACAATCCCTGAAAGAGGTCGTGCTCAGAAGCCAGCCCAGAGATTCACCATCCCAGAGAGAACTGTGGGCCCCAAAATACCACAGACTGGGTCTCCCTGTCGGGAGGAAACCCCATAGTGGGGGAAATAGCAGGTCTGACCTTAGGACACCCAGATCTAGAAAAGTTTCTGGGTTCCCGCAGGCTCTGACCTCCTGCTGCATGCATGAGTGCTGTGCTCACTTCCTACTGGTTACTGCTTGGGTACTGGGGCACAGAGCTCCAACCTCAGACCTGCAGAAGCCTGGGTTCCATGGGTTCAGCCCCAGACACTGCACCAATGCTCAACTTGTCTCCCTAGCTAAACTCACCAATCCGTGGGCTACTGCCTCTTCAAGAGGGCTGCACCCAGCAAACAGTGGAAGAGCAGCAGCGGCAGCCCACTAAATTCAGAGCAAGTAACCCAGCCTCATGGCAGCTGTCTTCAGGACTTCTCTTGGTGAGAGGAGAGCTCCCTGGGTACCAATGATCACAGTTACCACACAGGATCATACGCCTGAGGTGAGCTGTGGCAATTCCTGAGAAGCACTGGCCATTCAGTGGCCATATCAAATAGCTGAGGAGGCCTCCTTCAGGAACAACCATCTTCCTGCCAAGGTGAATGTTCTCACCTCAGGATTCCAGCAGGCACCACAAACTAAAAGCCAACACCTGAGACAGCCATATGGGTAGAGGCCAGTGTAAAAGCACAACCTACAAAAGCCAAAGCAATATGGCATCTTCAGAACCCAGTTATCTGGGACAAGCAGCCCTGGACACCCTATCATAAGTGAAATCCAAGAAGATCTTGCATCTATGCTTATGAAGAGGTTAATGGAGGAAACAAAAAGCATAAACAATTAGAGGAAGATAAAGTAAACCAGATTATAGCCATCTGTAAAGAAATAGAAGAAGATAAAGTCAAACAGAATGGCTATCTGTAAAGAAATCGAAGAAGATAAAATCAAATAGATTGTGGCCATCGTAAGGAAATAGAGGAAGACAAAGTCAAACAGCATGACCATCCGTAAAGAAATACAGGAAAATGCAGCCAAACAGTTTGTGGCCTTCAGAGGGGAACTAATTAAGTCACTGAAAAAAAAATAAAAGAAAAGAAACAGAGGATAGATGAAGGAATTGAAGGAAAAACAGGAACATAGAGTCAGACAGGGAAAGGAAATCAAGAAAATGGTTCAAAATATACAGATAGAAAAATTAAAACACAAATGGAGGAAATCATGAAGAGGAAGAACTTAGGGAAGAAAAGAGGAACTACAGAGGTAAGCATAACCAATATACTACAAGAGATAGAAGAAGAATCTCAAGTGTGGGAAGATACAATTTCGGAAGAAATAGATGAATTCGTCAAAAAAAATGTTATATCTAAAAAATTGCTAACACAGACCATCCAAGATTCAAGGCAACATGAAAAGACAAAACCTAAGAATAATAGGAATAGAGAGGAAAAAGAAGATTCCCATCTCCAAGGGCCAGAAAACATTTTCAACAAAATCATTGAAGAAAATTTCCCCAACTTAAAGGAGAGTTTAAGCATACAAGAGGCCTACAGAACACCTAATAAATTAGATCTGGAAATAAATTCTCCCACCACACAATAATCAAAACAATAAGTATACAGAACAAAGAAAAAATAGTAAAAGCTGCAAGGGGAAAAGGCCAAGTAACATGTAATGGCAAATCCATCAGAATCACACCTGACTTCTCAACAGAGACTATGAAAGCCAGAAGGGCCTGGACAGATATCATGCAGACCATAAGAGAACACAGATGTCAGCCCAGCAAAACTACTATACCCAGCAAAACTCTCAGCCATCATAGATGGTCTATCTAGATATCTACATGTAAAAAATGCAAATAGATCCATACTTATCACCCTGCACAAAACTAAAGTCCAAGTAGATCAAGGACCGCAACATAACCAGACATACTAAACTTGTTTAAAGAAAAAATGGGGAAGAGCCTTGAGCTCATTGGCACAGGAGACAACTTCCTGAACAGAACACCAACAGCACAGGCTCTAAGATTAACAAGCAATAAATGGGACGTCATGAAACTGAAAAGCTTCTGGAAAGCAAAGGACACTGTCATCAAAACAAAAGGACAGCCTACAGATTGGGAAAGGATCTTCACCAACCCTATATCTAACAGAGGGCTAATATCTAGAATATACAAAGAATTCAAGAAGTTAAACAGCAATGAACCAAGTAATCCAATTAAAAAATGGGATACAGAGCAAAACAGAGAATTCTCAATAGAGGGATATCGAATGGCAAAGAAACACTTAAAGAAATGCTCAACATCCTTACTCATCAGGGAAATGCAAATCAAAATGACCCTGAAATTTCACCTTACACCCTTCAGAATGGCTAAGATCAAGAACTCAAGTGACAACACATGCTGGAGAGAATGTGGAGAAGGGGGAACCCTCCTCCATTGCTGGTGGGAATATAAACTTGTACAACAACGTTGGAAATCAATTTGGTGCTTTCTCAGACAATTAAGAATACTGCTACCTCAAGATCCAGCTATAACACTCCTAGGCATATATCCAAAAGATACGCAAGTATACAAGGACATTTGCTCAAACGTGTTCATAGCAGCTTTATTCGTAATAGCCAGAACCTGGAAATAACCCAGATGACCCTCAATGGAGGAATGGATACAGAAATTGTGGTACATTTACACAATGGAATACTACTCAGTTATTAAAAACAAGGAAATCATGAAATTTGCAGGAAAATGGTGGGATCTAGAAAAGCTCATCCTGGGTGATGTATCCCAGAAAGCAGAAAGACACACATGGTATAAACTCACTTATAAGTGGATATTAGACACATAATATAGGATAAACACACTGAAATCCATACACCTAACAAAGCCAAGCAATAAGGAGGAGCCTGGGTAAGATGCTCAATCTTCATTCAGAAAGGCAAACGGGATAGACATTGGAAGAAGGTGAAAATAAGGAACAAGACAGGAGCCTACCACAGAGGGCCTCTGAAAGACTACCCAGTAGATGCTGAGACTCATTGGGCAGAGTACAGGGAATCTTATGAAAGAAGAGGGAGATAGAAAGACCTGGAAGGGTCTGGAGCTCCACAAGGAGAGTAACAGCACCAAAATCTGGGCCTAGGGGTCTTTTCTGAGACTGATACTCCAACCAAGGACCATTCATGAAGAGAACCTAGAACCCCTGCACAGAGGTAGCCTGTGGCAGCTCAGTCTCCAAATGGGCTTCCTAATAAGGGGAGCAGGAGTTATCTCTGACATGAACTCAGTGGCTGGCTCTTTGATCACCTCCCCCTGAGGTGACCAGGCCACAGAGGAAGACAATGCAGCCAGTCCTGATGAGACCTGATAAGCTAGGGTGAGATGGAAGGGAAGGAGGACCTCCCCTATCAGTGGACTGGAGAAGGGGAATGGAAGGAGATGAGGGAGGGATGGTGGGATTGGGAGAGGATGAGGGTGATGCTACAGCTGGGATACAAAGTGAATAAACTGTAATAAATAAAAAATTATATTAATTTAAAAAATACAAAAAAGAGTAAAGCTAAGTAGTGGCGTAGACAACAGCATAGAGCTTTCCCCTGAAGGATGTGGACTCGCTGCGCTGCTTTTCTCAGTGTCAGATCCTGACTAGAAGCAGTTTCTGGGAGGTTAATTTGGGCTCATCATTTGAGAGGAGCTAGTTTATCCTGGCAGGCAAAGCATGACTGTAGGAGCATGAGACAGAATATGCAATCAGGAAGCAGAGAGCATAGAAATTGGGCTGAGCTAAGATACCTAACGATCTGTCCTTCGTGATCTATTCCCTCCACCCCAATGCCCTCTCTTAGCTATGCGCTAAGTGTTCAGGCTTGAGGTTTTAATTATCTCTCACTCAGCCGCAGTCTCCCTTGGTTCTCTGCTTTCCTAGAATGAGCCAGAAGCGTTGTGTGGGAGTTTCCAGGACTGACCCTCTGGTGGGCTCTATTGTGTGGCTGCAGGCCCATGTGTCACTCCCTCTCTGTCTTTGGTTTATTCGCAAGAGTCTCTGGGCACCATGAAATCAGTCCTCCCTTCTCTGCTTTATTTTCCCAAATAGCAGGTCTTCCAACATTGTGTATCATTCGTTCATCTTATCTATGATAAAACAAGTACATTTCAATTCCTTGAAAAACTGCAAAGCATAGAAGTGCCTAGCCGAAAAGATCTCAGTAGAATGAATAGAAACACAAGGCCCACAAAAATAGCTCATTGGGTAAAGGGGCTTACACTCTGACGACCTCTGGTCAACCCCTGGGAACTCCTTCATCAGGTGGAGGAGAGGACTCCCCCAGGTTGTTCTCTGACCTCCACACAGTGTCCTGTCATGTGCCCACCAACCAGATGAACACATGCAAAACAAATAGATGTCATGAAAAGGTTTTTAAGACAATGCAAACTGGAAAGCTACTGTGCTTCACAACTGGAATGCTTTGTAGCATTGTTTTGGACAGAAGGCTTAGTTTTGAAATAGCCTAGGAAGACCACAACATGCTGTGGCCTGTATCATGATCTTTCAAAGTCTATTAAGGTTAGCCCAGCACGGTAAGGTAGTTAGAGAGGGAGCCCATCTTCACAGCTTTTATTATAGCACATTGTTATGATGGCTTGATTTTATTAGAGGGTACTAAAAATCTCTGTCTCAGCAGCTAAACATCATCACAAGTATGTGGTTATGGGAACAAACCTAGAACAGATGACAGCGCTCCAAGTAGTTAGCATCCTCCCTAGACAAAGTGGACCTGGAGTAGACAAGGTCCCTATGTCTCAGTGTGAGTCAGCTAAGACTACAAGAATTCCATTTCTATTCAGGAAAATAGTTCAAACACTACACTTAGAGACCAAGCCTGTGCTTACAGCACTTAGAAGTCTTCATTTCAGAAGTCTGGAATTGTAATGCGCCAAGCTGTAGTGTAATACAAGCCCTTTATTACTAACCCTTCTATCTTTTAGAATGTAAACTATTTCCAGAAGTCATTTTAGTTCTAGAATGTTCTATTCTATGTATCTACTCTTTGGATATATAAATAGTAATTTATAAAATTAGAATGCAGTCTCTATAGGAAAACCTTGAGGCAGAGAGGTAAACATAAAAACTGACCAGCCCTAGGATCTGCAAGTGGAAAAGCAGGAGGCGGCAAGCAGAGGGAGAGATGTGGTGAGCTCACAGCGGCTTAGCCTAACCTGTCTCGTGTTCTCAACACTCATGGAGATCTCCTTCAATTTGTAAAAGTCATCCTTTGAAGGAGGCCAACCTGACACATTCTGTTTTGTCTCAGGAGTTAAGACACCTCAGGGTGTAGAATGATAAATGTTGACATCTAGGGGATAAAGTGCTAATGGGATAGATATGAAGAACTCAGTTAATATTCTCTTTGTAATATCACACTTTACAGGTGCTTGGCGTGCATATATATAGAAATAGACACTAAATTGGCCATCTAACCGGAATGTATGTAAGATGACAAGAGTGAAATAGTTCCTATTACTGAAATTGATTGGCTTCCATTATGTTTTAATGCTTTCTAATTTAAAGTCTAAAACACGGAGCGCATCTTCTCAGAGACCGCTGACAAAGGTGCCTGCTGCCCACGGAACAATGTTAACACCCACCGGTGAATAGCCCACCACCATTTCACATTTTATATAGACCCATCATTGCAGAATACACATTTCGTGTTAAAAATTTATACATCATGCAATACTGAATCCAGGCAATTTCCCAATGTCTGTAAATGGGGCTTTAGAGCTCTTGTAGTTTGAATCCAAATCACCAGAGAAGAGTTTGGTATTCAATATCTACCTTCACAACTCCTTGTTGCTTAGGATGGTATTACATCACTGTCTAGCCCAAAGCTTGCCAAGTGAAAGGGCTAAGGACACTTGGAATTAAACCTGGGAAATCAAATTACAGGTAACTGAGTCGACCGTTTACAAGACGCTTTTAAGTCCATCATGAGTTGCATTCTCTATGAATCTTATACAAGAGGCTGCAGCTTCCTCGATGGATTTTGACCAGCCACCAATATTGCCAGCAAAGTACGGGAGAATGCTGTCTGACATCTGGTTCAGGTATGCTACCTGCATCAAAGAGAAAACACAGCATATTGAGTTTTTATTGACGGAGAATGTACAAGCAAGAGACTGAAACTGTTGGTGAATGTATCTGGAAGGAGGGAGCCGAAGAGTGTCAGAGTGAGGACACACATTATAAAACTGATGAATAGGAGATCTGGGGGAAACGACGTTTTCCCAAATCTAGGAGGATGAATTAAGGTACAAATATTTCATCACACATACGGTGCACGAACTGCTATCAACAGCCTGAATGAGAAATCCAGCACATATGACCTCGCTCCTGATGTACTGTGGAGATGGTGGGATGGACGGCAGGGAAACTGACTTCACAGCCACGATGTACATGTTACTGAAAGATAAGAACACATGTTCTAACTCCCTGAGAGAATGGTTGTTAGACAGGAAATTTCTAGTTTATTAATTTAGTGATGTGGTTCTGAGGATTGAAATCAGGGCCTCTTGCATGGCAAGTTTTCCAGCCCTGGCTGTATCCCTCGTCTTTGGGACAATTTAATTGTCCCTGCAGAAGAGAGCTGTGAAACTGACTTCTTCAGGATGAGTGGTCTGTAGCACACAGCCTCGTCTACAGAGATGTTCAGAGGTAGGGGACACGTCACAAGGATGCAGTCACTGAAGTGTAACCGTGCCCTATCGGGCTGTGATTTCACTTTCCTGTCATTTTTTAATTAAAAAGAAACAACATTCAAACATTAAAGACTATAATAGGCTAGGAAATAAAAGTGGCCCTTCAGCCTGGTCTAGCTCCAGTCCCATTTCCTGCCTTGGAGGTGACTGTTCTCACCTACCCTTTGCTGTATGAGGGTAAAATCTCTGGATTTTATTAATGGATACAGCAGCATTAGCAAATGCACATATGATTATTATAAAATTGTCACTTTGCAAAGATAGCCTACAACTTCATTTTCCACCTAACAATAAACAGAGACATTTTTATATTTGTGACCGCATAAGTTCTTTATCTTCATTGGAGGCACACTGTGTTGTGGACTTATCATAATTTGTAAGATAGATATCATTTTATTTGTCATGTCCTTGGCACAATAGAAGATGTTACAGTGGGCACCAATGTACGTTAGTCCACACGTGTGGGGAGGTTATCTGAGACACCATTCTTTGGATTTCCTTGTACAGGGGAAGGCCGTGTTCAAACTCTGGGTCACAGCCCCAGCACACAGCCAGTCCAGATGCTCATACAGCAGGCCTTTGTGAATTCTAAGTCAACTTCTGGTGTCTTCACTCCTCTTCTGACTTTACTGACAACAAGAGGTCTTAAAAGTTTTTCAGATACTGATTCTAGTCAGTGTAGAGCAGAAGAAAGCTGCTTTAGAATGCTTGCGGATCCTTCGCACACATCTGACAATACATGAATGTATTTTAAAGTGGTAGCTAAGGTTTCATGTATTTAAAAAAAAACCTGGATAAGTATAATTGAAGACTAGAAATGTTCATGATGGCTTTCTTGCTTTCCTATTCTTTCATTTTTAGTCTCCATGATGCATCACATGAGCTGAATGTACTCACTCATTGTTGAGAGGCTTTCTTCGTGACACAAGTACGATAAGGTCTTTGGGTTTGTCTCCATTTACCACTGAGCAAGTGATGTAATATATCTGGTCGTCCTCACTCACCTGGTCTATGACTTCACAAGATCTGTGTGAAAAGAACAGCATCCAAGGACATGCTTTCTACCTGCTAGGATAAGCCATGCACTTTGCTTATTTGTTAGTACGATCCCCTTCTTGACATCTGTGTTCACCTGGACAGCTACCTCACCACCTTCCACACCCCACATAGATTCTGCTTGAAGCCTGCACAGAAGGAGTAATTTTGCAAGTGAAAGAAAGGTATCAGCGGTCTGGCTTCAAGGTCAGTTCCTTCAAAACTCCAGAGGAAGGCAATACTTTTTTCACAAAATTATTTTTTTCTAGGATGAAATAAAACATTTTGAATACAAACAGGAGGGATAAAGAGCCAGTCCAAGTGCTCAGGTAAAGAGATGCAGTATACTGAGAAGAATGCTAACTGTGAAGCTAAGCCATGTGCTGCTTACTGGCCAAATTGTGGTAGACAAATCATTTTATTATTTCATCTGTAAACATAGATAATACAATTTAGGGGTTTATTGTGTGAGTTAAATGCAAATACTTCCTACAGACCCTGAGTCTTAAGTAGATAGACAAGTTAGTTGAATTTAGATGACTTCATTGGCTTCTCCATTCATTCATGTTCAATTTAAATGGAATGCCAAGTGGAACAGAATTGTGAGAGAATCATTTAAAAGGTACCTTGTTGCTGCAGTGTTCTGTAGCCTAGGAGGCTAGGCCTGAGAGTAATCTGTCACTGCACAGTAGCAATGATAAGGCTCAGAGCTTCATAGTCATCCCTAGGGCAGTCTCTTGTATACAGTGGCACAGTGTTTTTATTATAACATATGCACGTCCTTCAGTATGCTCTAAATCATCTCTGGATCACTTATGCAATGTAAACGGTATGTTGATAGCTACTATACTGTTTAAAGAATGAAGTATAGGAAATCTGTACATGCTTGATGCTGATACAACCCCCCAACACACACATACACACACCATTTTTTATCCAAACTGTTTAAATATGTAGATGTGGGACCCATGAATAGGTTTCATAAACCATATTCCAGCAAAGTAGAATGGAAGAGATAGCTCCAGGAATGATGGACAGAGAGTCATGGAGAAAAGTGATTGGCTGGGAACAGGGCATGACGGGATCATCCAGGGGAACAGCAGGCAGTGCCTTCCTGCAGGGCTCAGCACTAACTCAGCAGTGTCTCACTAAGACTTGTGCAGGAAGTTCTAGGAAGACTTCGCTAATTCCTCAAGAGCAATGAGGCTGAGTAATGAAAAAAAAAAAAGAGTATGTAGGTGCTCCAGAGCCAGACTGAGCTGGAGCTCAGAAACAGGGACAATATCAACTTTGACATTGACAGTAGTATTACAACAGATGCTGTCCACCTATGCCAACTTGATACAGATGGTAAGCAGAGGAATGGAATAACTGTTGCTTTTTACGGCTCATGCAGCACGTCAGGCAGAACAAGCTCAAAAAGGTCTCTAAACCCCTGAACTGATATGCCATACATTGGGCAGATAACTCTAACTGAAGCTATATTTCCCCAGGCTTGATTAAGAAAAACATTTGAATTTGTTCTTACATGTAGTGAGGGTCCCACAAAGGCCGCTTTGTAAAGTCAGACAAGAGATGATAAGCCATGTGTGCTGGACTGCCAACATACTTTTCAACCTTAACGGATATGGCCTCTTGCTCTTCCAGGGTGTATATTTTTATCTAAAAGACAGAATGAAAGATTAGAAGGGGAATATACATATGCACACATATTTTCCTTTATGCACACACAGCAGTGGGCAGTCTTGAGTGCCTGCCTGCACCAGGTAAGGCACCTCTGTGGCCAACAACAATCGCACCCGTCTTGGCCCAGAAGCTGAAGCAGCCTCTTGATCGGTGTCATTGCAATAGTATGCAGGTTAGTTAATTTGCATCGTGTTTTTTAAATGAAAAACAAAAAACAAGAGCTTTTCTTTCTTGATTTCTGTGATATTTCCTGCCTCCACATACTAAAAACCGAATGTCACCAGGGTGCTTATCAGGCTGTGTCCCCTCTACCCTAAAACTTTGAAACAACACTGAATTGCAGTGGATTTCCAGGATATCAGGCATGTCTTCTAGTGGGTGGAAGTGACCCAGGAAACAAGTCAACTATCTTTAGGACAAACTTGATTTCTCAAAAGGACCCCTAGAACATACTTCTTCAGCACAAAGAATTCTTTGCTTTCTGAATCCCAAGGCTAATATGTAGTTAGGTAAGCAGGAGCCATTTGACAGACACTAAATTACTAATGCCATTTCTGTGGTTCTGGGCTTTCTTCTGGCTGTTTGTTTGTTTGTTTTTGAAAATTATCAGTTATGTGTTACACTAACAGCACATTTTTATTCTGCTCATTTTCTCCATTTCTTTCAGGGTGTTGAAATTTTCCATCTTATAATCATTCCCATGGCAACAAGCTGTGAGAAGACAAATGTGAGGTTATAACTCCAACCACAGGAACCAGGCAGATAGAAAGAAATCAAGCTGTGAAGACCTGGTCTCTACTAAAACATGTATCTGTATCTAAACATAATGTCATCATACTGCGAGAATGAAGAAAGGCTACAAGTAGCTTAGGCAGCAAACAAGTGACGGCGACTACTATTATGTAAAACATCCCTTCCAGTCCATGTGTGAGCCATAAAGAAGGGCTTAGGCGAGACTGTGAGCACTTGTGAAATACAAGCAAAATCAAGTGGGAATCCACCAGGCTGCTGTCAGCACAGAACCTAAAGGAAGCCACTGGTGAAAACCCAGAGAGGAGCTTGAAGGCATCTCTAGGCCTGACCATCAGTGCACAGGAGTCAGTGGAACTGGTCACAAGCTTGCTTTGGGGATGTCTGCTTTGGTGAAGCAGGGTGTGGGGGACACCTGCTTAGAGCTGGATTATGGTCCTGCCCACACTCCTTTGATAGAGTCCTAACCTCTTATACCTTGTGATGTGATTTTATATAGAAATGGTCTTTGTCAATATAATAATTCACTTAGATGAGGTCATACTGCAGGAAAGTAGGCCCTACATGACTGGTCTTTGTAGAGAAGGGAAGCCAGACACAGATGTGCACACAGGGGGACACTGTGTGGAGATGAAGGCAAGCCAAGGAATGCAAGGCTCACTAGCACAGTTCTAGAAGCCAGGTGAGAGGTCAAGAACCCAGCCTGCCTATGTCGTGATCTCAGAATGTCCCTTCAGAAGGGGCTCCTCTGGTTCCTATTGTTTCACTTACCCAGTGAGCAGTGCTCTCCTGTAACAGCCTTGGGAAAGTAAACCAGCAATTTCCAGCAAGCTGCTCTCCAGGTTCAGACACATTTTATCTTTGAGCCAAAAGGAGTAGCCACCATTAAGTTCTACCTTTATAAATGGATCTCACTGACTTATCCAGTGCGAAGAGCCATAGTGGATGAGTGAATGGCATCTACTCTTCCCGAGAAGGTAAAGAGGATAGGAAGATGTCTTTATCATCACCATCCAGCTACCTGAACCAATGCCGTGAATGCAAAGAAGACAAAGAAAGACAGTGGTCAACTTTGGCTCTCTTCAAATTTGCCAAAGAAACGCCACTATGGTGCTTTGAATGAGATGTTCCATGTAAGTCTGTGGCATGTGAATACTTGGATACAGTTGGTGGCTGTTTGGGAAGGATTAGGGGGTGCGGTCTTGTTGGAGAAGGTGTGTCATTGAGGGTAGGCTTAAGGTTTTAAAAGTCCTTGCCATTTCCTGTGTGCACGTTCTACACATTTGGGCTGAGATGTGAAATCTCCGCTGTTCCTACAGCCTACCATGCCTTTGCTCTGTCATTGTGTGCTCCAACCCTCTGGAACATAAGCCCAATAAAACATTTTCTTTTATAAGTTGCCTTGGTCACGCTGTCTTGTCACAGCAGTAGACAGTAACCAATCCAGCCAGCTTTGGCTTCATGGGAAGATTCTCCAAGAACAGTTATCCAAAAAACAAAACAAAAAAAAGATTTCCCTTTGCTCGTAGAAATGGAGGTAGACTTAATTCATAACCAACTCCAGTGTTTGGGGGTGATTGTTTATTTTCTGAGATGAAACTCAACATAAACAGCCCGAGTCTCACTGAAGTGAGTCTGCTCAGAGTCCCTTAGTGGAACTGATTTCATCATAGTAACACTCTACTCTGAAATCTGTTTGGATGTCAGTTGGTTTTACAATGAAACATTTCAGACTTCTTTACCAATTGATTAGTATGTCATTGAGATTAAGACAGAGACAGAAAACTACTTTTTGTAGTGCCCTAGTCACAGAGGCACCAAGGGGGTTACTGGAGGTGAGAAGGGTTTGGGGTGGGCAGATGGCACTCTGAGCCTGACCTGTCCCCTCCTTCAGCGTCTTTGGGAGAAGATCCCTGTAGAAGACTTTGGGGCAATCTGTTGTTTTTGTTTTCACCATATTTTCAGCTTTTTCTCAGACTTCAGATATTCCACTCCTATCAGGCTAGGCCCCTCATGGTAGTTTCTCATGTAGAGGACTCAACTCAAGCATGAACTGCCTAGAAATCTCTCTTTATCTTTTCTTGTGACACTGCCTCCAAGAGATAAGAACCACACATTTTCTGGCTCCTTTATTGTTGTTGTCCTGACTTCCTGTACCTTAACTTGACCAAATCAGACCTAGCTTCTGTGGGTTCAACACTACAATATCTCACTTATTTGTGAACTACCTTATATTATTCTTGAGTAGGTTTCACGTACATATATGCCATTTCTAAATTTCTCTTTTGCTTCTTGTATTACTTTTAGTTATTTCTACTGTTATATATAAAATATTGTATATGAATTAAAACCTTAAGTACTGTCATATTTTATTATAAGCATCAGATTTCAAATCCTATCACATTGAAAATAAAAACAAAAAATTAGATCACACTGGGGATCCAAGTCCTTGGGAGGAAAATATAAGAAGACCTTGGGTTCAAGGCCAGCTACATAGTAAGATTGCTAGGGTTGAGGTGGATAAAACCTGTTGGGATGCTCAGAAGCTAGCAAAAAAAGAAAGGGGCAGATATCATATCAAGAAAAGAAGGCATTTAGACACCTTTAATGAGCAATAGTGAGAATCCAATACTCTAGCTATTAAACCTGTTCCTGCATCACTGAGCCCAGTAGACATGGAAACCTAGCTAAATCTCAAGGGCTTAAGGAAGACCCTGGAAAGATTCAGTAGTGAGAACATGGAACTAACAGAATAACAAAGAGGAAACACTAAGGAGAAGTCAAAGTCAGAGCTCAAAATGACAAAGAAAGCAGCCTTCAAATTTACTTGGATTCCAAGGTGAGAGGCCTGCCTGACTCTCACCTGCATCGAAACACCACGGCATGGCTGAGGTTATGATGGCATAGCAGGTGCAAACTTGGAGTGTCCTAGGACAGCCAGGACACATGGTCATCCTGTTTTCTAGGGTGCTGTTTCACTATCAGTGAACAGCAGCCCATAGCAAGCATACCCCCAAAAGCTGGCAGTCCTGGTCATTTTCTTAGTGCCGGGCACTACCACGGTCCGGGAATACAGTAGGTGAGCAAAGTGTCCCCTAGAGCTCAGAGTCTAGTAAATGTGGGCATTGGCTTCCAAGAGTCACCAATATTCTAAAATTATGGCCCAAATAATATACACTTATTCCAATTTGATAATATGTAAAAATTGTAAAAGTTGCTGAGAGACACAAAGAAATCAAGACAAGGCTTCCTTCTTAAAGGTTTATTGTCTGTTTGGAAAAATAAGATCACTGAAAACCTAAATTGCAATGTCAGGTTTAAATATCAACTCACGGCAACTGTGGACAAAGCATCACAAGACAGAAAAGAATTCAAAGACAAGTTAGTCTTAGAGAAGTCATGATAAAATGAGGTCCTGGACAGAGTTCATTTGGTCGGGAGAGGATTGACGGAGTAGTATTTGTCCTGGCTCATCAAGATCCTCAGTTTGGGTGGATGGAGATATGGAGGAGGAGGTGAGAGGTGAGAGGTGAGAGGTGGGGTATGAGAACCAGGCCTGCCAGGGCCAATATGGAGTGCTCTAAGTCGTCCGGTAGGACGGCTCAGGGCTAAAGGAAGTCAGCCTCTTAGAAACTGTTGCCCCTTGAGCAAAGCAGCTGGGAGCCCTCTGAAGCAGGACTACCACTAACTTTAATTTGCTGTGAATAGGAGCGACACAGTCCCAGGACACTTACCTTCCCCAAGGTGGTGGTAATCTCCCAACCGCTTTTGGATGCCAGATTTTTGAGAGCTTCCACATTGCTGTTACTTAGGGATCCCTAAAACACACAAAATATTAAACTTATGGGTTCAATATATAGGTTTGGGATCAAGAGTTTCAATAACGGCCAGTGCTGGAGGAGGTATATATTAAGTCAAAGCGAGAATGCTCTCAAGTGGGCATGGGTCAATCTGACATCCTGAGAAAAGACATATGCCTTTCAGTGTGACTCTGACAATGTGAGAAGTAAATTTGGATCCCACATTAGAGTCAAGCGCCAAAAATGTTTAATTAATCCTTCTTTTTTTAAAAAAAATGTTTGTTTTATTTTATGTATATGGATATTTTTGCCTGCATGCATGTCTATGCACCACATGTGTGCAGTACCTATGGAGGCCAGAAGAGGGCATCAGGTCTCCAGGAACTGGGGTTGTAGATGTTTGTCAGCCTCTGCGTAGGTGCATTACACCGAGGACCCCTGGAAGAGCCTCCAGTGCTCTAACCACTGAGTCATCCCCAGCCTCCAATAATCCTTCTGGCTTTATAAAACTTTGAGTTTATAAGCATGCCACTCATTGCAAATCGAGGCAGGACATCATTTAGAAATGGAGGGTTATGCAGCTCACCTTGTGAGCTAACCCAGCCTGGGTCTGACCGACAAGGAAGTTTCTGCTTTTCTGATGGTATGACCCTTACACAAGCCATAAATTTGTTGTTACCTTTTTGCTAATATCCCACTGTGTGCTGAGTGTAACTTCTTTCTTGTGAGAAATAACATATTTCCTGAAAAAAAATTAAGTATTAAGTAATGATTTTCATCTATGCTTAATGCATAACCCATGATAATTTCTTGATTTGAAGTCGGCCATTTAAAGAACGTGCTCTTTGGTGGGAGAATCAGGGATAACAATTCCCAGGCTGAAAAATTTTAACTTATAGGAAACATAAGTTCCTTTCCATTCCCATGATGTGAGCACAGGGACCCCAGGCAATGGCTCTTTGTAACAAGGCTTGTTAGAGAAAAGCCCATGAAATCCTCACACGTTAAGTCCTTTACCTGCCTAGGCGAATTCTCCTTCGTGCAATAGCTCCCTGATAACGCCGAAAATCATCCTAAAAAAAAAAAAAAATAGTACAAGCAATCAATTTCTAATAGTTTGGCACTGAGATCTGTAGGTGGCCTTTCCCTAGACTAGCTGGTGCTCCGTGTCTCTGTGACACTTCCTCATGGGGTCTGAGCTGCTAGACAACTTTGGAAGTTATTTTTATTTCCTCTTCAAAGTGGAGAGTATTTTAATTTCTGCTAACTAGAATCACACAGATTTCATTGTAGAGTTTTCAGAGGAGGTCAGTGTTAGCTCTAAGTCGATTCCTGGATGAAAAAGACAGGTTTCCCAGGAATGTGGTCCAGAATCAAGAGCAGCACTCCAGACATAGCAGCAGATGTAGAAAGGGTACACAGAGAGCCATATGCCACACAGAAGCACCTGACAGTAGAGAGGGGTGCCCGGGGCTTCCACCATCACAACCAGAGTGGTGTGGGGAGAATAGAAGAGGGAAGAGCCCATTGTACTTAGGCATAGAAGAAAGCAAACTTCGTTCGAAAGCCACGGAGGGGGTTGGCAGTGGGTAGCTGCATGGGGCTCTGTGCTCACTGGTCTCATCACTGATGCTTACACGGTGATAACTGACCTTTGAAATGGGTTGAATTCTGGGAAAGGTGATGAGTTCTTCCTGGTCATCAACAGCATTGTAAATGAGAAAAGCGCTGTTGATGTGGCGGCCTCGGCCCTCAGCCCACTCCTGACAGTCAAAGGCCTCAACACGCACTCCAACTTCCACACTGCAAGGGGAATGCAGGGCGGTGGGCAAGGAGGGCCAGCACTGGGCAGCCTCCTCTCTCACCAAGCAGCAAGAGCACAAGTGCTCTGGCTTTCTCCTTTGAAGTAGCAAATCTGTACAACTGCTAAAAATCCACTTGGAGGCTATTGTGGGAATGCAGGTTTCCACTTTTCTTTCCAAGTGGGCCCATATGTGTGCATACATTCATTGACATATTTAGTTCATGGAGAAGGTAACTTAAATTGTGCTCAAACATGTTTTCTTCCTTTAAAACAATAGTTCTATGGTTTAAAAGAATGAAGAGCTAAAGTTTGGCAGAAAACAGAGATACCTACCCCCCGCCATTTATTTTACTTCTACAAGGGAAGAAAAATTCTGTATGAAACCTTTTCAATGTGTGCTGAGAATTAAAAAAAAAAAAAACTTGATGTAGCCTGGACTCACTGTCATAAAAAAGGCCAAGTATGGATGCCGAAAGGAAGAAGTTCTAGCTCTGTTAGGATAGCAGATCCCAACTGGAGCCATTCTGTGCCAGATGGATGTCCCATATGCAGAAAAGAAGACTAAAGTGTGTGTCCATAGATAGAGGAAAGTTTAAAAGTCTTTAGATGGTATTGTGACGTAGCTCCCACACTCCCCTCCCAAGCGAAATAAGAGCATGGTTCACACATGACTCTTGAATGGCACATGGAGCACGCATTACCTGTTCTGGAACGTGTTGTTGACTATGGCGCTGAATACAAGGCGGTCCCCAACTGTGGATGGCCCCCGGAATTTAAACATATCCACAGACTTCAGAAAGGGATGCCCATGACACAGGCGGCTGAAGGAAACCAAGGGAAGAGGAAAGAGGAGATGACCATCCTGTACAGTGTTCTCACAAAGGCCTGACCTGTTGAATGGCTTCACTGGATGAGTGAGCAGCCTCTGTTCTAAGTAAAGAACTCTTCGGCTCCAGAGGACCCTGTGTGCAGAGGGTCTGCTCCCAGCCTCAGCCATCTGCCAACAAACTGGGTATCATGAAGATGCTAGTCCCTTGGCGTTGGTCTTGTGCTCTATGAAAGTCCCTCCAAAACAAGCTAATCCTTCTTGTCATTTGAGTGTCACATTCATCCTGACAGCTTCTGACAAAGGTCCCAGGACACTGTGCCGTGTAGAATGGGGTAGGGCCAGCCAGTGCTGACCACACTTGTTCCTCAGCTTCCCCATTCACTGAACCTGTCCACAGATCAAAAGCCAATATTTTCCTTCAGAGAAAAAAATTTGCCTGGATTGGTGCACAAAGTAAGAAGGGCTACAAAGTGGACATTTCTCAGGCTTTGTGTAATTTTAAAAAGGAAAACCACTTCAAACCACTTCTCTTGTGCCCACCCCCCAGCCCCGCCACCCCCCAACCTAGCACTGAGAACCTTGCAGAAATAGTTGCGACCGTCTCCATCCATGCCATGATCTGCCCGCCAAACGTGTTTCCGTGATGGTTCGCGTGGGGTGGGAGGACAAGCTCAATGCTCTGAACGGAGGTGCCCGTGGTGGTGGCAGTTCCTTCTTCTTCGTTACAAATGGGACCTGTGAGGTGACAGCAGGGGCCATGGGATCAGCTCCAGCGCCTTTGCTGGACTTTCTCCCAAGCAAACACAGCTCGGACATTTTCAGACATTGTCCTCACAACCCTTCACCAAGGATGTGAGTGGTTTCTGTAGAGCAGCCTTCATCTGAAAAGCATCTACTTCCGGTGTTCTGGATTGAGCTAACAGATCAGGAGGAGGCTTTAAAAGACAGGTTCCCCACCTGTCTAGCACACACACCAGAATTTTGATTAAAACTGGGCAGGGCACAGACGGTAGCCATTTTGGTGGTAATGCTATGCCCAAACTTAAGCTGTGTGCTTTAAATATGGACCATCTATAGCATGTCAATTAAGTCTCAATAAGACCTCTAAACAAAGAAGTCAGAAGGGCTGCCAATGGGGTGTGGAACCCCATAAACTGCAGAATGGGTATGTTCTCTTGGGTACGTCAGGGCAGAAAAGACACACACAGCAAGGCCTTTTCTCATTTCCTCTGCTTCTTATGAATCAGATGCTTCATTCACAGAGAAAACTGGCCTTTCCCCTCTCAGCCATGGAGGAACCATTTTCTCTGGGTGCTAAACAGCAGTATTCACTTGGCCATGCTACTGTTGTCACACAGCACCACATGCATACCTTCTATACATGCTGCTGTGGGGAGAAGAAAGATTGATCGGCCCCAGGGACCGTGCTGGGTTAGTAGAGTCAGCAGGCAGTGTGCTCATGGAAAGCCAGCTGCTGTCAGCGGGAAGCGGGCCTCTGGAGCATTCGCTTCTGGTTGACCAGAGTGTGGCCCTAGGTACCTTTTACCTCACTTCACAAGCAGATTTTTAGATTGGTAGCTAATTGATGATTTCTTTCTTTTATTTCCCCTTCCTTCTGTTGATTATTGCTAAAAATGTGGCATCAGCTCCCACTGCTCTGGGTGAAATCTCAGACGCTTCCTGGGACCCACATGTCCTCTGTCCTGGTCCAGCCTATGTGACCATAAACCTGGCCGCCAGGCCTCCTCCTCTCTTTGCTAAGCACATTGATCTTTAATCAGTTACTTCGAAGAAGGAAATTGTCTTCAAGGTCAGGACATTTCCTCATGACCGTTCTGTCTGCTGCACCCCACTCCCACCTCCGACCAAGCCCCTCCCACATCACTTTATTCTGTCTTGGATCATATCAGTGAACTCTTTCACAGATGCCTTCTTTCTAGGAAAACATGGGGTAACCGAGGCTGGGAGCCAGCTCGTTTAGTAGAGTGCTTTTTGTACAAATTTGAGGACCTGAGCTGATCCCCCAGAACCCACGTGTGAAAGCCAGGTTTGTGTTGCAACCTTACAACCCCCGGATTAGGGTGGGGGAGACAAGGAAGGCCCCGGGTGTGCCCTCCAGCTAGTCTAGCTGAACTTCGAGCTGGAGAGCTTGTAGTTCAGTGAAAATGACTGCGATGGCGGGTGATTGAGAACACTGCTGTTGCCTGCCTCCACACGCATGTGCACACATTCACACGCACACCTGCACGCCCATGTCCACAGATAAAATTACTCGTTTATATGTGTGTGCTCATGCACGCACATGATAAGCCAGGTTAATTTTTTTTTTTTTTTTTTTGCAATACTAGAACCAACAAAGATTTGTTGCATGAATAAGGGCAGTTGACTCTGCGGAATCTTTCCCCATCCTGGTCCCTACTCTTAGAATGCTTCAAGGAAATGCTACGGTCATACTGCCTCACACAAGAGACTGTCTTCTGCTTGTGACAGGTCCCCCTCCCCCTTCACTTAAACACAATTATCAACACGCACTTCTCCAGTGTAGTAGCTGTGAAACAGTATCTCACATTGGTTACAATTTGCATTTCATTGAGTACTGATGAGGTCCAACATTTTTCATATGTATGTTGAATACTGTTGCAATTGCTTAATTAAATGTCCATACTGTTTTCTTCTATCCCTCCCCTGGAACTTCAGTTAAGGAATGTTACATTCTAACTACTCTCTCTCTTTCTCTCTTTTTCCCCCTCTCTCACACACATACACATACACAGTTTCACACACACTCACACACAGACACATGCCATTTATATGTCTTACATATAATATATGTGTAGGTGGGGTTTCTGTATTTTGAGATGGAGTCCTAGCTCTGAGGCCTAGGCTGCTCTGAAACTCCTTACATAGCCTTAATCTGTTCTATGTCTTGCTTATCTCAGAGCTTCAGACTTGCAGTGATTCTCCTGCCTCGGCCTTCCAGACGCTTGGGTTACGAGCACCAGCTGCCATGACTGGTCACTTACATATTTGGGTGGACAGTCTCCTTGTTTCCTCTGCAGACTTTCCACATCAGCTCTTTGTTCCTGAATCACTCATCTAACTAAGTAATGGAGCTATGGATTGTCTCCAAGACCTCACATCTGACAGGCAAGCTCTCAAGCACCAGGTTGCATTCCAAGTCAGTCTTACTCATTATGTTACAGTGGCCTTGTGACATCATCGTCATCGTCTTATATGAAATGGTCTTATTGGACCCCCTCCCCCCTTCAGACTTTGTGGATCTGGTATCACTTCTAGATCTTTGGGTCTTACTGATTTCAGTCTTGTGATATTTCTACCAGAAGGCCTGGAAATTATCTGGAGATTCCTGAAGCTAGATAAAGCCTCTCCGCCACAGTGGGTTTTGTATGAGCTGTTACTGGTCGCAGTGGGGCTACAGTACGGTCCACATTACACTAAAGTTCACGTGATCTGCTTCTCCCCAGGCAGCTCCTGGCCTGCCACACCACGCCCACATGAAGAGGAGCTGGGGACTGGATTGTGAAAGGCAACGATTCCCTTATGCCATGCAGGGCTAATTCTTAGACAGAAAGCCACTTATCAGGGCTCTCTGAACAGGCACAAAGGGTTGGGTGGAAGGTGAGGTGTAGGGGGCTTCTGTGCAATGGACTCACGGAGAGTCCTTGGGTGATTGCAGCTTCCCATGAGTTCCCGTTTCACCTGTGCAGCCGTCCACAAGTGCCCGGCTCTTCCCACAGTCTGTGGTTTGGGCACCTTCAGGCCCCAGGGTCAATGCAATGGTTAGAACAGCCTGTCTGTGCTTCTTTGGCGTCCCCGGGCCACTGCTGACACACTGCTTTCCCTTGTCTGAACGCTGAGACTGACTTGCACACAGAAGACACGTTTTCCCCGGGTCCAGCACACTGCTGTGAACAAAACTAGATTGCTTTCTGGGTGATTTTCAAAGACGTGTAAAATCCTAACCTCTTCTAACTTCTGCTTATTCTCACTTGTCTAAGGATTTTTCTGAACTGGATCTTGTTATGCTGCACAGGCTGGCTCAGAACTTCTGAGTCTTTTTGCATCAGCTGCCAGAGTATCTGGGGTTCAGGTGCAGGTCACCATCCTCTGCTCTCTGATTACAAAGTTGATTTTACTAGATGAATTCTAAAAATATGGTGGGTTAGTGCTGATTGAAATATTTTCCATTTAATGGTGCTTGTTGAAATGGCATTTTTTATTCAGAAGAAAACATTAACTTTGTTTATTTAAAAATATCTATAATAGGGTGATAAAAATCTAGGTGACTATTTACCTGTCGTAGCACAGATGGGAGGGATACACTCTGTGTCTTCTCTTGCATTCTAAATTCCTTACCCTAATATGCACTATCTGTTTTTAACTGGTTATAAAATAATTACAGAACAAAATTAATAGAGGGTCTTAGACTCTGAGAAATATTGTAAGATAAACAGTTTCTCCTTTTCTGAGAGGCAATTATAGAAAAAGGCACTTGCTTCCTATGAAGACATACACAGCACACACAAGGACAGCTGGGGACCGGCTCCTTTGTCAGGTTGAATGCATACAGGTATCAGCTACACCTGTGCAGAAGTACACAGGGAATAAGTATCTTTTATCTGAAAGAGTGTCTTGTAGATAATTGCCAATAGACTGAAAAAAATGAGCTTGCCAGATCCATAGGGCAATTCGGGTTCACAGACCTGGCTAGACCCACGTCAAGTAAACAGACTGCATTCTGCAATCCAAGCATCAGGCTCAATGGTTGTCAATGGATGTTTTTAATTTGTTGTTTCATCATCACGCTTGGTCAATTTCACATTTGTACTGCATATTTTTAGATAGGGAACTTTGACCTGGATTCGGGTCATTTTATTCTAGCTCTTGTTTTCATTCTGGTCTATCCGGAAAGGATAGACCAGGGCAATGCCTGAAGACCTGATTTTGTACTGAAGAGCTGCAATCAGAATAGCTCACACTTTAATCCCCTCTCCACCCCCACCCTGTAGCGAGTCGGTGGGACAATAATGTATTCCAATGGACTTTTACAAAAGCTAATATCATCTTTCCCACTTTTCTTATGAAAACAGAGAGGCTGGAATCAACTTTCCTAATATTCAGAGGATGCTCATTTCCATTGTGCACCTCAAAGGCGACAGCTCACTCAGTCTGAGGTTGTGGGATTATAGATCCCTTAGCTCAACAAGCACGAGCTGTCTGCCTTCCTTCAGAATATGTTTCCTAATTAAGAACAGCCTTTCTGAGACCTACAACAGAGAGTGCACAGACCACGATCCCTGTCCCATCCTGAAACTGCTGAATCCATTGCTCTTTCAGAAAAGCTGCCTCTGAGTCCTGTGGTGTCATCAGTGACATAGAAGTTAGTAATATTTCCAAGATGAAGATCAAATTGTTACTATAGAGTTAGGTTAAAAGTTGCCTCACTGCAAAGAATGTAGGATAATCTATGTTGGGATTTAAGTAGGTCAATGAGAAAAGCTTTTTAAAAATCTGTAATTCTAAATTGAACATGCGACTCTGCTCTGCCCAGTACAAAAATTACACTAAGTGACAATGAGATTTTGCCTACCTCATCTTCTTGCAGCAGCTCCTGCAGTCTCTTTCTCTTCAGGAGTCTTCCCATGGACCACAGAATCTGGACCTTGCATTTCTTCTATCACGGTCTAACATTATTTTGAAACCGTTCATGTGCCTGGCACTAGGGTATGAGTTTTTCAAGACCTTGCATTGTTTATCTTTTTTGCTTTCTTGTTGCATGCTCCTTGCATGTGCTAGGCATGTAATACATCTGTCCTAGATGGAAATAAGCAGCTGATGGGTCCTTTACTTCTTGATGCTGAGAGTGAAGGAGCCAGATATCCACAAGACAGCCCACATGCTCATCCCCAGTCACACATTTGGCTCCTCCAGCAAGCACCAGGTCACCTGAGCAGCCCGTGCCCTGCCCAGGGTTGCCTTTTCCGTTATGAGGACTCTTGCTCGAGAGTTCTCCAGTTAAAAAGTTGGAATATTATCCTTGAGACACTGATGTGGGGGACGAATAGACATGGTGAAGAAAAACTCTTGCAAGATTCTGGATACATACATACGACTTTATAACTTCTGAAGTCACCAGAGATCCTGTGACTCTTGGGTCCCATGCCTCCTGGTCAGCACGAAGCCTCCAAGCCTCTGACTCTGTCTCTTCTTGCCTCTGGCCTTTGAGTGTACTTTGTCCTCCTCCTTCTCCCTGTTCTATCCTGGCCTTTCTCCCTTTCATCCTTTTTCCCTTTCCTCTTTTTCTATGTCCTCCTTCAGAGTCAGTGGAGTTGGAACGTCTGTGAGCCTCTCTAGAGCCCTGGGCTGGCTCTCTCCATTTCCTCTCCTGTACCATGCTCTCTCTTAGGATTTTAGAGATGGTGTCAAATAAAAGAAAAACAGAGAGTTGGAAGGAGACTACAACACTGACGAGCCCAGGAAGCCGCTGGCAGAAAACTAAGAAAGTGTATCTCGTGCGTCAGTGTGGAAAGCACAAGGACATATTAATAAGCTCTTTCTCTTTCATTCTTACCATGGGGTCTTCCTCCAGCTTCTTCCAGCTAAGATTTTATATATATTCTGTTGAGAATATATATGGCTAATAAGAAGTTCTGAATGAGGAAGTACTCAGTGACCTGTGAGCTGTCACACCCTTTCATTCTGCCATGCTACCAAGGACTTGTTCCCTAATAACCACCAAGACCTCATCTCTCGTTCCCCACTTTCCCCTGAGAAATTCCAGCCTAGAAACCAGGGTCACCATGTGCACTCTCAACACCCATTCCTTTTTTTCTCTACTTCCAGGCTCTGAGAAACAGACCTAGCATCACCCGAGATGTGAGAACGTGCGCTCTGAGAAAGCCCCCTTACGGGCCTTCCGGCGCCGCGGCCCTAGGAAGTCCCCGCCTGTAGGCTTACCGTCGAACCTGCTGCTCTCCTTCATGATGTTGTTGAGGGTGCTCTCGTGCTGTAATCGGACTTTCCTTCTCTCCGCAGCCAGGCTGTGCTCCATGTGCTCCTGCTCTGTCTGGAGCATGACGGGTCTTAAGAGAACCTGGAGGAAGAGAGTTTATCTTTGGATCTATCAGTCACGGCCTCCTTCAAGTACAGATGCCCAATGCCAATTTTCTAAAGGCAGATGACATACCATATGTTTTTTTTTTTTTTAATTTTCTTTGACAATACGATTCATTACTCAAATCATCGGGTTTTCTTACCCTTAGATGACAATGTTTGCAATTTGAAAAGAAGACGATATATTATGGATTTAATGTTTCAACCAATCTTATTGAGGATCAGTGAGACAGCTTAATAGGAAATGTATGTGATTTACAAAGCTGGCAACATGACTTTTGATCACCATATAAAAAATTATGTAGTGATGCTAGATAATGTACTATATGTTTTTTTTTAACTCAAGTAAATGGAGCCTCTATTGGTGTTTCCATTTACAAGATCAAAATAGGCTTTGTTATTTCTCATTTGAAAGCCATCCTTGTTTACTTTTATTTTGTTTATTTTTCAGTGGAATTACAGAATATAAAATTCTATAAAACATGTAACCAGTGAATAAGATGTGGGACTGTAGTTCCACTGAATTTTTGTTGATAATTTTTTTTCTGTCTTTTGCAAAATTGAGACATCAATGGGAGGTAATAAAGGGATTTTAGAGAAAACTGTCTTGTACCAAGAGATACTCCCAATGCAGAGGTTTCATCAAAAGCAGTGTCTAATATGCAAGCAGGAACCAATATGCCGGTGTGGCACTTCAGCTGTCAGCCAGACCCCGCGTGCAGCAGAGCTTTGGCCCCAGCTCCCCTCCGATGCCCTTGTGCTGGATCTGTGTGGGGAAGATCTTGGCAACTCCAGGATACTTCCAGTCTGAACTTGACCCTTTACCCAGATGAGGATAAAAAAAAAATCTATTGACGTTTAACGTGCTGTTTAAAGTCCAAAGCTCCCTGCACTGCCTGCCTCACGTGTCAGGAATGTGTGGACGGACAGTGACATTTTGATTGCATGATCAGCAGAATATATATTAGGTGGCCTGGAAAATCTGAACCTCGGCTCCCCTGCAAAGAAGACCCTTGGAATCATCCATCATGATGACTCCAAGCCCACAAAGTACACATGTGCGCTTGAACATGAGCTTGGGAGCCAGCACTGCCTGGAAGGTGAGGCCTCTGTGAGTGGCCGGGCCTTCCCTCTCTTGCTGCCTCACTTCCTTCCACACAGTCCAGTTTTGTGAGCCCTTCTAATTACTTGCTCTGTTCAACTGTTGAGCTAAATCTAGTTAATCATTGCCAGTTTCGTCCTGGGATGAACTCCCTTTGGACAGAGATCCTGGTATTTCTTGTGGTTCTAACTCAGTCACAGCCTTTCACGCCTCTCCACGTGATGTTGGGAAGTACCAACTGGAACATTAGCTAATCTGGGAAAGGTGCTTTACAGTTTATGCTGACTGAGGTAGTCCACTGAAGTAGGGCTGAAGCTTACAGTAGCACTATAAGGGAGCTGGCTTCCCAGAGTGGTTCTTGGAAGCCAGCTCTTGTCTCTGTAGAGACGGGTCTGGCATGGTCTGTCATGTGCTAATTCCACTTGTTCTTAACCCAGAATGAGAAGCCCGAAGCTATCGGGGAAAAGACAAGATTGCCTCTTTTTCCAGATAAAGGAATGGCTGGTGATGTACCCTCTGTCACACTGTCAAGGATGAGAACTCTATACCCAGCCCCATAACACTCCCATTTTGAAAGAGTTTAAAGATTTTGAGAGATTAAAAAAGAAACTAAAGATTGGCAAAACCTCTCGTACTGCTCAGATTTTCAGGATATCTGTGCTGCTTGGTCAGAGACTACTAGGTCCAATCCATGACCAGAAAGCTGATTTTCATCGCTTTAGATGAGAGAATTAGCATATGTGCATGCCAGGTTGGAGCAGCACACTCAGGCAACAAGGATTTGCCTGCAGCAATTTAATGAGAGGCCTATGAGTCCTGTGGGGCCGCCTGCCACCAAGCACAGGGTGGTCCAGCCCGCCGCGCTGTGTTTGGAGTAGCTGCGGGGCGTGGTCAGGGCCACCTTTGCTGGCTGCAGTGGAAGCATAGCTTCGTCCTGTCTGTTGTTATAGGAGGCACTCTAAGAAAGCCCTCAGCATGAGGGAGAACTGAACAGCAGACCTGGCCATGGCAAGTGCTTAGGAGAAGTCACTTTGCCTATTCTTTGATGATTCCTGAATGGAAAACTTATAATTTGAATTATTATATTTTTCAAATGTGTTGATCATCCCTAGACACACTCTCTTTCTAAATAGAAGCAACAAAAAGAAATTGCAGCATCCTACACTGTGGAAGATCTGGCTTCTGATTGGCTAGGAGCTGGGCAGTGTAAAAGGACACAGTATTTCTTTCAGTATTTTCTGAATGTTTTTAGTCCAGATGCCCTAAAGTTTATTTTTAAACTTCACTAATTAGCAACTTTGATACTTTCCTGAAAGTCTAAAAAAAATGGTTGGACTATGACTTTCAATTCCTTGCCAGATTTTTCCTGCTTAAAAAAAAAAAAAAGGTCAACTTAATTTTGAACTCTATAACCAAAAAAAGAATTAACCCAGAGTAGATATTAAAATCCTGTTTTTCCTCTTTCATGAATTTGCTACTTTTTTTCTCTCTTTAAGGTATTCCTTTCTAAAGATCTTCCTTTCAATTCAGTTCTATGATGTTGCCACAGAATAATTCCAATAAACATCAATGAATAAAAAATCTTGAGACAAGGAAGTGAGTGTTACAGCAAGAAAAAAATAATAATTCTGAAGCGGTTATTTCAATGTCCTTGCCTTACAAGAAGGGAGTCTGTGCACATAGAAAAATGTACCTTTTCTTTTCCAACTGGTTTAGCTACAAACGTGGAGAAAGCCACACAGAGAAGCTTCTCAGTGCCAGTGAACTTGTCCTGTACTATGACTTTGATACTGATCTGAAGGAAAGAAAAACAAACCATCACTCAGATAACAGAGTCAACTGCAACACACAAAATTCAGTTACGTACTTCTCCAACCTTTGCCTTTTGGTTTTAAATGACATCAGCATTTTAATGTATCTTTAAGTGATACTGCTATCTCAACGATGGTCTACCCACTATGACAAATACACTATATGGTATTCCTGACTGTAGGAATACACACACTTACCAGGAATAAATATGTGGGGTCTAGCTATCTGTATCAAACTCACTGCACAGAGGAAAAATTTACTAACTTTTAGGTTAATTTTCTTCCAGTTACACATATGTCCTATTGCATATACACAACATAATATTACTCACATACATACGTGTAATGTAAATGTATATGAAATGCACATCAATGTTTACATACATTATAAATTTATCATGTCACATTTGAAGTTTTGTATTCTAATTCTTGAAACTTTGTCTTGATGCAATAAGCATTTTAAAATCATATTACTAGTGAATTCCCTCAAGACAGCCTAGCAGAGAGTGGGACTGTCACTGTTTTTAAGCTTCGGTCGTTGGGTTTTATACCCCAGGATAACATGGGCAGAACTGCTGCTAGCTGCAGCTGGGTTTCCTCGCTTGTCTTCTTCCTGGGCAGCCAGCAGTTCCTGGGGCATTTTGTGAGGATGCTGCAGTGTCTGGCTCTCTCTCTCTGTGGAAGACCCTGAAGCTACTTCCACAGACTCACGTGCCACAGAAGACAAGAGCTTAGATTTGGTCTAATAAACACTGTCCTCATATCTCAACCAGATAAGTAATAACAACTTGGGGCATCTCAGTGCAGCACTGAGTAATGATAAAGTACACGTGTTTCTACATCCTCACCAGGAACACCATGTGCAAAAACAATCAATAATTCATGACCCACTTAAAATTTGATCTTTTCCAGTTCCCACCAGTTACCCGCAAATTTCATGATTTCCTTGTTTTTAATCGCTGAGTAATATTCCATTATGTAAATGTACCACAATTTCTGTACCCATTCCTCAGTTGAGGGGCATCTGGGTTCTTTCCAGGTTCTGGCTATTATAAATAAAGCTGCTTGTTGGATCATTGATGGAGATAACCTAGAACCCCTGCACAGACGTAGCCCATGACAGTTTGGTGTCCAAGTGCGTTCCATAGCAATGGGAACAGGGACTGTCTCTGACATGAACTGATTGGCCTGCTCTTTGATCACCTCCCCCTGAGGGGGGAGCAGCCTTACCAGGCTACAGAGGAAGACAATGCAGCCACTCCTGATGAGACCTCATAGACTAGGATCAGAAGGAAGGAAAGGAAGACCTCCCCTATCAGTGGACTTGGGGAGGGGCATGCATGGAGAAGTGGGAAGGAGGATGGGACTGGGAGGGAAGGAAGAAGGGGTTTATGGAGAATACAAAGTGAATAAAGTATAATTAATAAAAAAAACCAAAATTTGTATTTGCATGGTAAATCTTAAATTAACTGGATAATAATGAATCAGATATATGTCAATTATTTCTCACCTCTAAAAATAACCCTTACCCACATGGATTTTTCATGTTAGAGAAACAGACAACGAAGAATAAAATAATACCTCAAGCAAGAAAAGCATAGCTACAACTCTGGAGTGGTAAAGTTCAGGCACTACCAGCTACCAGGACAGTTGACTGAGGTGTGTGTGACAAACAAGTGCCTCAGAGACACAGCATGGTTAGGGAAGAGTAGGTAAGACTGGAGTTACACTCTGAAAAAAGCAGAAAACTAGATAGGTTCAGGAAGTAACTATTTCCACACATGAGAAACAGGTGATCAGAGCAATGATGTCCCAGGATAGAAGACAAATGAAAAGAACATAGTATTTCCTTTCATCTTTAAGATAATTCCCAGAATACAATAAGGGAAAGGAAACCTAATTTAGCTGAGTTGAAGAAGCAGAAATAAATAGATCAAGGGATCTGAAATTTGTTGGGCAGAGTAACAGAAACGAGATATCCACATAAAGAGAGAATTCTGGAAATACACATGTGGTCTTCTTGGGTCTTTGGGTTGATGCCAGTCTGAGCATGCCCAGCGTGATCTCACAAAGCCAGACCAGAATAACTTCTGAGGAAACTGCCTCACACTAGAGGGCTGTGAGGAGAAACTTTCAGCTCTCCCACACTGTTAGGAATCTTCTGAGTTCCCTCCAGGCAGACCTCACTAAACATGAGGCATCCTTAGAGCCCACAGAAGACGCCAATTTACAAAAGGCATCTGTGGCCTTTTATTGACTTGTTTTTATTGCAAGCCAGTGTCAGGGGACAGAGACACAGTGTTTGGGTAATTATATTGTAAGAAGAAGCAAGAACTAGACTCCACAGTTTGCCAAACACAAAAAGAATGCCCCTTCCTCTGCGCGCTAACTTTGGGTGCCTCCTTCAGTGTACATGGCATTACACTGAACTTGAGTGGCAGGCCTGAGTTGGGGAACATCAGCTCCTTAGAATTCAGCTGCGCACAGATTTAAGGGCTTTCTGAAGGTCAGGATCGGTGCCAGCTGTGAGCACTGTTCTAAGCGTCCTCCTATGAGCTCTGAAAGCACTGGGGACGCGAGCTCCCACACACAGACCTGCGCACAGGGCGCCACCCACCTCCATGCTTGTGCTGAACGCTCTGGTCACTTTTGCTCTGATGGTGATAATTTGTCCAATCCTGTTGATGAAAAGAAAGGAGGTCTCAGCAATCCTGGCACATTTTATTTTAGAGTTAGAGATTCAGTAGACACATGTGGCATATAGCAATTCTGCCCTGACCTGCTGAGAATACCCATGCGTCAACAGCTCAGGGGGAAGCTAACTGCAAAGGTGGGCCTCCAGGACAGCTGTTAATCTTTCACATCGTGCTTACATGGTTAACAGGCTCCCTCTATTTAGCCAGAAAAGAGCTCTTGCAAAGACAGTGTTCCCAGTGACCTTACTTGCAACAGCTACTTCTTACGTGTAGAGCCTGTTCCTGTAGGGACTCCTGTCAAGCACACAGGGACGCCTGTATCACTGATATTTACTTTAAAACATTAGGTAACAAACAAATAGAAACAAACCAGGCCATCGGTCACTGTTCTAGGTAGATGTGGGCCCTCAGAGCTGCTCCTCAGCCCACCCGCTCCTCACTGCTATTGACCTTACCGTCAAGTCTTTTCGTCACTGATCCCCTCATCTTAGTGGAAGTTAAGAGCTATCCAGTGGAAGCCCCTGGCCCCGTCCCACCTGACCCCGTCGGAGCCATGCTGTCACAGCCCCTCTGCATTCCTGTTTTTATGTCCTACGCATCACCTTGTCTCCTTCCATCTGGCATGTCAGCTCCTTCCCCTCTCAATCTTCAACCTCTCTGCTTTCCTGATTTTTTTCAGGCAATGAAAATATTTAAGGTTTCTTTCTCCATCTAAAATCTTTTCTTTCAGTTCTGGTTTATTTGCATATTTGGCTTTCCGAAAGAATCAGCGGTCCTTCTAGTTCAGGCTGCTCGCTGAGCTGTGACGAATGGTGGCCGAACTAAGGCTGAACTAAGGTGAGTGAGTCAGGGCCGCTGAGTCAGTACCTAGAGCATTGTTTTTCAGTGTGGCCACACCGGTGACGAGTGAATGCTTTATGAGCGCTGTGTATAAATCAGGCAGCACGCCAAACGCCTTGAACCGCAGTCAACAGCATGCCCTCACCGAGCAAGAACCCCGAGCGCGTAATATGATTCCCTCTTTACGCTCAGCAGGAATTGCGTAAACGGTGATATAGTAAGCAACTGGCTGGCCCAGAGTTCAAACCCTGCGCTTAGCTGAGCTCAAAGCCCTGGAAACATGCTCCTACATTGGCTCCTAGAAAGAACAGCAATCAATTCTCCTTTAACCACAGCAGAGAGACTTGTTTAGATATATTAAGGACAGTCTATGAGGTAAATCAAGTGGTGTTGCCAGAAGAGAGAGCATATCCACTCAATGCCTTTATGTACACGTGGAGGCCCTATGTCTCTCATAATCTGCAGCAATCCAGGCAGAAAAACTAGAAGGAAGGAATTCACATATGTACATAGGTAGATAGAAATCTTAAAACAAGTAATTATTGTGTTGGAAATCTGAACAAATCAGTATTTCAGCACACTTTTCTTTTTTTGCATTTTTTATTAATAATTACAATTTATTCACTTTGTATCCCGGCTATGGCCCCTTCCCTTGTCTCCTCCCAATTCCACCTTCTATCCCTTTTCTCCCCCTATGCCCCTCCCTTAGTCCACTTTTCTTAATGTTTAGATTAATTTAACTAACTTAGAAGGTGATAAAAGTAATGCAAAAACCTTCATAAGGAAAATAGCCTATGCATTTGCATTTTGACTAAGCAGTTCTGTTTTTAGGAATCCATTCCCAAAACACACTAGCAAAAGCATAAACATTACACATAAATTCATATATTGAAGTGTTATCTGTAATAGCAGAAGCAGTTCAGTGCTTACTGATGGGGACCATAGCGACCTGTACCGTGAAGAGCAAAGCGCCTGTTGAGTGTGGACAGCCATCTGTACTGCTCTAGCGTGGTTTTATGGAAAAGGTGGAGAAAGTGTCATAATATTTTGGAACTTATTTTTTAAAGATTATGAATAAATGCTCACTTATATCTTAATGTACAGGGAAAATTATCAGATAAAGAAGGTAGATACTTAAGACAGGGGAGGGAGCCTTGGAAGCACAGAGGTAAAAACTAAATTTCCCAGAGTGAAATGTATTTTCCACATTTGCTTATAAATGATAAGCAAATGCTTTTAAATGATAAACCAGATACAACAAAAATAAAATGCAGTCTTAAAACATAGAAAGCAATTGAACATGAGAGTTTAACTATCTGGAAGAGACTTCTTTGGAGTAATTTTAAATAAAATGATTGTGGCTATGTTAAGATTTTTAAAAAGAACCTTAGTATTTTGGGGTATTTAATGAATTACAAATCACGACTAGAATTAGTTTCAGAATAATACGTGTGGGAAAGGCCACAAAGGGCCCTGATAAAAGTGTGTGTGATCTGATTATTCTGACAGCTCAGCGATGCGTTCTTCTGAGGCACCACCCTGTCCTTTCCAACTCCATTGACTAACTTGAATCCCTTTTCCATAAGGGCGGCCAAAGCATATTTTATGGCTAAAGAAGCTTAATTTTATGCTGGGCATCCATCTTGGTACCCACCAGCAGTTGCCTCGGACTCCAGCCCCAGATCAGTTCCCAGAAATCTTGACTCCGTGAACACCCCCAACAACGTTCAGTTTAACTATCTACTTGTGCTATAGTGAACTGATTTCTTCTTCTGTAACTTGATAATGCAGATGCCCAAAGATTGTTTTTAGTTGCCTTAACCACTGTTTTTTTCTGCAAAGGGGATTCTTTCCAACACAGGATCCCCAGGAACCACCAGAAAATAACCCCAAACACCTAAGATAGCCCAATGGGTAGAGGCCAGCGTAAAAGCTCAAGCAACTAAAGACAGAGCAATATGGCATCTCCAGAACCCAGTTACCCAGGGTCAAGTAGCCCTGGACACCCCAGCATAACTGAAATCCAAGAAGATGACCTAACAACTATGCTCATGAAGATGATAACAGAGGAAACAAATAAGATACGTAAAGACACAGAGGAAGATAAACTCAAACAGAATATTGCCATCCGTAAAGAAATAGAGGAAGCTGCAGCCAAACAGTTTATGGCCTTTAGAAAGGAAATGCTTAAAGCACTGAATGAAATAAAAGAAACAGAGTTGAAGGAACTAAAAGAAAAACAGGAAAGTACAATCAAACAGGTGAAGGAAGTAAACAAAACAACTCAAAACCTGAAGATAAAATTGGAAAAATTAAAGAAAACACAAATGGAGGAAATAATGGAGAGGAAGAATCTAGGGAAGAAAACAGGAACTACAGAGGTAAGCATAACCAACAGACTACAAGAGATGGAAGAAAGAATCTCAGGTGTAGAAGATAGAATGGAAGAAATCGATATATCTGTCAAAGAAAATGTTAAATCCAAAAAATTCCTGACACAGACCGTCCAAGAAATCAAAGACAATATGAAAAGACAAAACCTAAGAATAATAGGTATAGAGGAAAAAGAAGACTCCCTTCTCCGAGGCCCAGGAAATATTTTCAACAAAATCATTGAAGAAAATTTCCCCAAGTTAAAGGAGAGGCCAATAAGAATACATGAGGCCTACAGAACACCCAACAAATTTGACCAGAAAAGAAAATCCTCCCGCCACATAATAATCAAAACAGTAAGTATACAGAACAAAGAAAAAATACTAAAAGCTGCAAGGGAAAAAAGGCCAAGTAACATATAATGGCAAACCCATTAGAATCACACCTGACTTTTCAACAGAGACTATGAAAGCCAGAAGGGCCTGGACGGATATCATGCAGACCTAAGAGAACACAGATGTCAGCCCAGGCTACTATACCCCACAAAACTCTCAGTCCTCATAGACAGAGAAAACAAGATATTCAATGAAAAAACAAATTTCAACAATACCTACACACAAATCCAGCATTACAGAAGACACTGGAAGGGAAAATACAACCCCCAAAAATTAGCTTCTTTCAAGAAAACACAGGAAATAATTAACCTTACTACAGTAAAACACAAGCCCACAACCTGATGACCACAGCCAACATCAAAATCAAGGGATCTAACAGCCACTGGTCATTAATCTCTCTCAACATCAATGGACTCAACTCTCCAATAAAAAGACACAGATTAACAGAATGGATGCGTAAACAAAATCCAGCAATCTGTTGCATACAAAAAAAAAAACAAAAACAAAAAAAAAAAAAACCTAAGACACAAAGATAGACATTACCTGAGGGTAAAGGGTTGGAAGACGACTTTCCAAGCAAACGGACCCAAGGAGCAAGCAGGAGTACCCATTCTAATATCTGACAAAATAGACTTTCAACCAAAATTAATAAAAAGAGATGGGGAAGGACACTTCATACTCATCAAAGGAAAATTCCACCAGAAAGACATCACAATCCTGACCATCTATGCCCCAAATACAAGAGCACCCACATTTGTTAAAGAAACATTGATAAAATTTAAACCACATATAGATCACCACACATTAATAGTGGCAGACTTCAACACCCCACTCTCAACAAAGGACAGGTCAACAAAACAGAAATTAAACAAAGAAACAATATCTCTGACAGAGGTCATGAATCAAATGGACCTAACAGACATCTACAAAACTTTACACCCAAACACAAAAGAATTTACCTTCTTCTCAGCACCTCTTGGAACTTTCTCCAAAATAGACCATATAGTTGGTCACAAAGCAAGCCTCAACAGATACAAGAAGATTGAAATAATCCCTTTTATCTTGTCTGATCACCATGGAATAAAGCTGGACCTCAACAATAACAGAAATAGCAAAAAGCCTACACACACATGGAAACTGAACAACTTGTTACTAAATGACAGCTGGGTCAGGGAAGAAATAAAGAAAGAAATTAAAGTCTTTCTAGAAATCAATGAAAATGAAGACACAACATACCCAAACTTGTGGGACACAATGAAAGCAGTGCTAAGAGGAAAGTTCATAGCACTAAGTGCCTTCAAGAAGAAATTCGAGACAGCTCATTCAAGCAACTTAATGACTCACTTAAAAACCCTAGAAAAAGAAGAAGCAGAC